TCTACTTTATAATTGCCAATAATACACAAGAAATGTTTAAATAATAATAAAAGTACACTTCACTGTGGATAATTTAGCCTATGTGATGTGCGGGGCTCTTTTCTAAGAGAGCACTGTGCAGCCACATTGGAGAAGAGGCACTGTGAGCCTTCACAATCTTCAAAAATTATCTTAATGCTAGGGAAGCAAGATACAAATTTTTAAAATGTAAAGATAATTTAATTCTTTGCAACTACATTGTGAAATAATCTACCTACGTTTATTAAAGTACGTAAAAATCATCAAAATGATATACTGAACACACCTTTGCTGGTTACAGCTCTTACAGGATCCTTTGATCTCTGTTATATATAATTCCTTGTTTTCTGTTTAAAAACACTGCAAGTTACAAAGCATCCTAGGTCTTATATTTTACATATTTACAAGAGAAACCCTTTCTTTAGCAGGAGGTGGGCTCGCTAATAAGGCTTCTCTTCTTCGTGGTAAACAACATATTTACAAACCACAAATAACAAAGTAGAAGCTGCAGAAGGGTTATGGTGTGATAATTAAGTACAATGGCGACCCATATGAACAGAAAATGCCAAGGAGCTAAAACAAAGCAACAACAGCTTTGTTTGTTGACAGATGCAGGAGCCATATTGTTAGTTAATTGGGTAATGGTGTAAACATTTGCAAACTCCGCTGGCCCTCGGTGAATTAAGCAGCACGCTGAAATTATGGGAAAAGCTGTGCAGTCCTTTGGCTGCAGGTACTCACCAGCGCTTTTAGCCGTCTTCTGAGTATAAAGATACGGCGAAAAGGACAGTGTGTGTTATTATTTAAGGCACTCGAAGGATTTGTGGCGAGAATTACAGTCAAGTGAATATTAGATTTCCATATGGTTATAATCTGGAACTAGGCTTGCTTTTCAAATATATATTATATATACTTATATTTTTATATATTTTCTATATATATCAAATATATATATACGCACACACACAGATATATTTTTTGTGTGTGTGAAATGGAGAAGAGCCTCGTTCTTTTGTACATTTTCTTGCAAGAAGAGGTTGCAGAATTTGAAAACAGATTTTGGCTTTGGCTGAGCAGAGAACTGCTTCTTTCAGGTGCACAGGAACTCGTGCTGGGAATTGCAGCGATCCCTGGTTAGCCCTTTTCTGTGCCTAAGTTCAATGGACTGTGGCAGAATACTCAAACATGAAAAAATGCAACAAGATACTTAATTAGCATACTTCTGTAATCACAAACTTAAATGCACTACTTTGGCTGTTTTTTACATAACAGGTTTGCTTTCTAAGATAATAACCTTTCAATAATTTAAGCAGCCTCT